CACATTCTTTGAAGTCTGCATATTGAAAGACAGAATAGAAAAATGACAGACATAGAGGGGGGTGGAAATGAGAGAAATAATGTGTGTGTTAACTTGAAAAGGTTTTCCAAAAATGTTTTAATAGAATACTACAATGTGGGTAGGCTGGCGGTGGTGGCATTTTAAAAAGGTTAGTATATTAATTCATATGTCTCAGTATGTAAGGACTAATATAGTTCATTGTCTAGAATTTTGGGTTGGATAAAAGAAGCCCAAGTTCACATTTTTACCATTGCACTCAATACCCACATGGAGGAAAGCCAGGTGCGTTACAATTGATTTTCTATTTATAATGTTCAAATTTCTCTGCCTTCTTCTTTCTAGAAATTGTATCTCTGACTGTAACATATCTCTATTAAAAACAAAGTTACCATTTGTCTTGTTAGGTTTTGATTACATATGCTATAGTTTGGAGGACCAGATGCATTTCTCTCCTGTAACACTTCTCATAGGTACAAATTATTAGGAGAGAAAATTAATGTTAGACTGCCAACAATATCAATCTGATAGGCAGTATGAAAATGATCTAAATAAATTGCACGGGGACAGAACTCTGCTGCAACTCTGACCTGCCTAAGGATAAATGTCACTGCCAGATGTTGCAATGAGGTAGTGGAATCAGCATACAGTAATCTATAAACTGTCAGAGGTCTACCTAGGAGCTTTCATAAATTGAGCCAGGCATATAAATCAGGAAAGCAACTGGCAAAAGCAGAACCAGATATCAAAGACAAGGCAGGATGGCAATAGAAGCACAAAACAAATGGAACAATTTCTTCAAAATAATTTGTACCTTAGTGTTTCTTCATTACTCCTATGTTCCATTTGAGTATTTTGATTTATTGCCAAAAAGTCCTTTTTGCTTAGTTTCTCTCTGAGGCTTCATCTCCATGGATACTTGCTCTTTTTCACTTCAGATTCTGTTTCCTGAGTCACTTACTTTAAGTCAGAGCTGGAAGTGTTGTCATTACCTTCAACTGCGAGATAGTGAAATTTCTTGAGTGTCATGTTCTGATATTTGAAAAGAAGAAATTAGGCATATTCAGCAGAGGTGCCTAGTTAACTACTAGGAAAATGCCTTAATCTATAGAAAAATAGACTGAAGTTAGTTGTGCTATAATTGTATGAATATAGTTCAATTTTATATTTTATTTTGTAATTAGCATCCAAAAGTAAAGCCGGAGCAGGAAGGAAAGGGTCTAACTCTTTCCTCCCTATTACAAGCTGAATAAAAATGGTTTCTCCAAATTGTTGCATTTCAAGAGAAAAATCCTCATTAAAATCAACTAAGACTTTTCTTGAAATGCAAACAATTAAAACTTGGCTTTGGGCTTTTCCATATTGTGATCTTAAGTTGCTAGAGCAGGGTTGTCAAACAGGTGCCCCAAGGGCTGGATCAGTTGTGCTTAGGCCATGCCCACCCTAGCTCCATGAATGGGAAAAACATCACAAAGCATCACATGATGGCAACATGATGCTGCATGTTTGACACCCATGTTCTAGAGTCTCTATATCAGGTGTGTCAAAGTCACGTCATCATGGCGGCATCATGTGATATATCAGGACTTTTTCCCTCTTTGCTAAACCGGGCATGTGTGATGTATTCCGTGCGCAGGCTGGGTATTTGACAGTCCTGCTCTACATCAGCTAAACATGAAACTGACTTAAAACAGTTTGGTTCTGCACTTCCACTCCTTCTTCTCTTTTGACTGTTGTGATGTCCCGATGGTCTATTTGAATCACATTTACCACAGCATCTGGTTGGGGGATTCTCCTGTTTCTTTATTCCTCCAGGACTAGTCAAACAAACCAAATATGTCCACTTCTACCATTTTTCTTCTGTCAGAGGGTAATCCTGCTACTGTGCATAGTAACTAACTGAAAACAAAGGATTTGCTTACAATGGAATTAAGCCCAGCAGGTGTACTGGACTTCAGATGTATTGACAGTCCCTAATTTAAGATGCCTGACTTAAAGGCAACCTGGGTTATTGTTGTTATTGTTTATAGATGGGCTACTTATTAGTAAAAATGGCTGATGACTTTGTTATTCCTTGCACTGATGAAGCATTGAAGCCATACATTGCTTTCAGGAACTGCTGAAGCTGGCCATTTTTAATATACAGCAGTTTTTAGCAGTTCCTGGAAGTTTTGTACAGCTTTAATGCTTTGTTGATTCGAGGAAAGAAAATTCCATGCATCATTTTCAATAATAGGCAGTCAGTTTGTAAGTACAGGTTCTGACTTTAACACAAAATTGGATTAAAGACAGAGTTAGGGAACAGAACTTGTTCTTAACCCAAGGACAACTTTCATGTATTATTCAATAATATGAGCATTTGTTCATTCATTTCGCATCCAGTTTAGCCTCAGGATTTTTAAATTAAGCAATTTGTGTCTGTTAAAGGACTGATGATACAGTGCTATTAAATGGATTGCAATAACAGCTATTGATGAATGGTGAAGTGCTAATCAGCAAAAACAGGTGTAGGTTTCAGCTAGCTGAGTGAATCATTTACTACTTGCTCGATAGTTTTTGTACAGAATCTGTGATCGTCAATTACAAAGCCATTCATTCACCTATATATTACATGACATGGTTGTGACTTATTCTGTGCTGACTTCATTTTCTCAACAGGTCCCACAATTAAGACAAAATAGAGCATTGGTGCATTAGAATCGGTTAGGATTTTTGCTTCATATATTTCTTTAAACATATATGCTGGACAATTTTCATAGTTTCAGGAAGAAGTCCCCCTAAAACAGAAACTAGAAACTAGGCAAATTTGATTTGTGAAATATAGAGATTTCCCAATGAGTCTCTTGACTTTATTCTGCCTGACAAGAGATAACCATTAGTCTTACAAACTGATCAGACTTTGAATGAATGCTATGCAGTAAAATTCTCCTGTGCTCTTTATCTTTCAGTTTAGTGAAAGAGAAGTTGTTTTTTAGGTCTTTTGGGGGAAAATAGATTTTTTTAATAAAAAGATTAATTTAATATTATATTTAATTCAAGATGATTAAGAAAAAAATATTTGATCTTTCATATCCAGCAGCTGGTAGTCTCCCTCTTTTCTTACATATTAGGAAAACCTCATGGCAAGATATTACATCCCATTGAAAAGCACTGATAACCTGGAAAGTTTCGGAATGCTGGAAAAAATGAGTAATAGAAAACCATATCCACAGTAGCAGTAATAGAAAAAAGAAATTTAAAATAAATTATTTGGCACTTTAAAAATAAAGCAAAGAAAGGCAAAAGCCTTCCTTACAGGGGAGGAATCTGAGAAATTGCAAGGCAAATTTGGTAAACCATTATATCAAAGCTGAGTACTCTAAGTGTAGGTGAAAGACTTATTAAGTTGGGAAAAAACTGCTTCATTGGCTATCCAATTAAAAGTAATGACTTCAAGGCAGACTTTTGTGAGATTTCTGGGTTTTTTAGAAAAATCTGTAGCAAACATAGATATCTGCAAGGGAAGCAAAAGCAAAAGATAAAACATTTATAATGATATCTTAATACATATTAAATGCTTGCATCCTCTTGGGTGATGTTGCTGTGAAGGGGTGAAGTTTGCATTGTAAGATCATATGCATGTTTGGTCATTTTGATATCAGTATGGGTTGGTAACAAATGCATTGTGGTAACAAATGCATTATATTTATACGCTAAATGAGAGAAAATGGCAGGAAATATGACCTGACCTTCCTGGCTTTGTGGACCAGCAGCAGTGGGGTGGGGAGAGGGGATGGTTTCACATGAACAGTGGATGAGTGCATGCATGCAGCTCCATTTTTACAACACTCACACAAATAAGCTTTGTGCATGAGTGTTTGCCTCTCACACAAGTGGAGCCACACACGCTTGTTCACCACTTGCATGGCCTGGTTCTGAATGGGCTATGGCCTAGGGGTTGGGGACCTCTGATTTAGACTTTCAAAGAAGAGGAACATGCAGTGAAGTTCTAGAATAATTTTCATTGTTCTTTCTGTAAGATGACTGCAAGTCAGTGTGTAATTCCTTGAGAAGAACTCAACTGAACAGTGTAGTGCTTCCATCCACTAAACAAAGGCAAGACCCAAGCCTTGTTCAAATCAATTAAACACAAAGTATATATAAAAGCAAACCTTTTTAATGCGTCTCTGTGAATTCTGTTCATTTACAGCAAAGAGTCATTAAAATTAATTGTCCCAGATAAGAGCAAGCCTTTTCAAGGTTGTGAAAGGCTGCCAAGAACCCAAGATTAATTGCAGGGAAATATCCAAAACCAAAAGTCTCGGAAAACAAACCAGAATAGACAGGACTTCCACAAGAACTTGGAGTTGAAAGAACTTCTTTGCTTCCAGCAAAGAAATCAACCCCTGAGGGCTTGCTTTTATCCCTTATAGGAGGGGACATCACCTTGCAGCCTTACTCCCGAATCGCCCATGCTGCTGCAGCTGCTCTTTCCTTTCAGCAGTCCTGCGTGCATATGCACTGGGTACAGGCTTCTCAGGGTACTTTGCATCACTGCTGCCAGACTCCACAAGCTCCGAAGGCAGCACCACACTCTCTGATAGTCCTGGTCCCATCCCTGCATCACATGCAGGCCCCTCATCCAAGTCCTAACTCTCAGAGACCTCAGCTGTTCGCACCTGCTGCCAGTGAACCACAACAATAGGTTTGCATTGTTAATGAAACATGTCCAGATGTACCTAGATGAAAGGAAACATGTTTCCAGGAATATCTTTAATTATATTTTCTATCTGCAATATAATAAAGTATTACAATCTACGAAGATGCATTAAGTTACAATATTGAGAACCTTATCCTCCTTATTCATTTCTTGACCCTATAATACCCCAAATTGTATGGATAAATATCAAGCTCTCCTTTGGGTGATTTCAAAAGGATTGTTTCAGAAAGTTAATGGAAGATGCTTTTCATCTGTTCCCTTTCTCTTTCTCTTCTTCTCTTAGGTGATTCTCATTCTTACAAAACTGCATGACTTCAATTTGGGAAGCGTTACTGAAAGTTCACTTTGGAGGTAAGCAGATTGCTTCTTTGCCCTGATGACCAGGAGATTTTGTTGTTGTTTAAAAACCCTGTTGTGACAGTTATCATATATTTGACTATAAGTTCAAATATATTTTGAACTTGTAGTCAAACACATTTTCAGAACAAGATGTGTATGTTTTGTTTTTCTGTAACTGGAATCTGTAAATCATCACCATATGAGCATAACACTGAAGTATGAAAATAATTTGATATAAAATATATATGTTCAACAAATGTTAATATCATCTTGAAAAATTAATTAGATGAGCCCAAAAAGCTTCTGCAGACCAGATATGACTGATAGCTGTACTGCAAATACTGTAGTATAACGTAGTAGTCTATCCTATTCCTATTGCTATCCCTCTTCTAAATTAATTGGCCGCTGCTATTATTGTATATAAGTGAGTTCCTTTTTAAAACCTGAAGGTGGATGTGACAGGATTAGAAAAGCTAATTAGCCATGAAGATAGGTATTTTCTTGTGAAAGCATAATGTTAAGAGCAGCAGGATTCTGTTGTATTACACCAAAGATTGATTTTATTCAGTATTTTGCTGTTATGGTAACATCTATTTACCTAAGAACTTCCCAAGCAGCCAACATCCAGATAAGCAGGGATTAACACCAGGCAAACAATCAAGAAGAAACCCTATACCCTAATTAAGAAACTGCCAAAGAGAAAAACCCCACTGCCACTAAAAGCAGAAGGCAAATTATGGTATATAAACAGGGAGCAAACTTCCTGCTTACTTGCACTGATGTTACCTAGTTGGGTAATAAAATGTCTGCAAGCAAACAACCAAGCTCAGACAGGACCAAGGACTCCACAGTTTTTGTAATGTACCCAAATTCTCTTGAAATAAAAGAAGCAGCATGGATTGGATTCTGAAATTTAGGATTTGTCAGACAAAGATAAAAGCTACAAAGTAGTTCAGAACAAATAAACAAATCTGGAAACCACATCTTTAGTTTTCACAGGTTAGGTGACAGTATTAGTCTTCTACAGTAGCTTTGATTACATGACAAGCTAATATGTGATCTACCGTGTTTCTCATATAATAAGGCCGGGTCTTATTTTTTTTTGAGCTCCGAAAAAATGGCTAGGCCGTCTTTTGGGGGGTGACTTAATTCCCCCCCTTGCATCTTCAGGCGGGTGGGCAGCGACAGCTTGGATGTTGACCTCGGCGTTGGTGGGGCACTTCGTATCGGGGTCAATGCAGGCAGCACCATATCCGGGTGTGCAACAAAAGTACTTCCTAATGGCAAGCCCCCCCCACCATTCCCCCCCATTTTGCATGTTTTAATATAGGCCTTAATTTGGGGGGAGGGGCTTAATTTCATTTCATGCCTATAAAACATGCTAGGACTTCCTATTGGGGGAGGCCGTATTGTTGGAGAAACAGGGTAGATTCTATTGACCTTTTGTCCTGTAGTCTTTCCCCCTCATCTGATTTTTTTTAAAAAATAGGGTTAGCATTGGCTTCTATGCTCATGTTCTCCTTTCTACTCCTTAACTTTCCATTAATCCAGAATTTTTAACTATCTAAATATATTCAGGATTTCATCATATTTTATAGTGAGATTCCTGATCCCTTTTCAGTGAGGGCAGGAAGGCCTACTTTAATGAAAACAGCAGGAGGAAGTAAGCAGCCCTCACATGCTTTCCTGACTGCAAATATCTCCATTCAGGTCTATGAATTTGGTACAAGAATATAGAGCGGGGAAAGACAGTGAGTGTGGCCAGCAAAATGTGACACTACAAGGAACATAATGGAAAACAGAGGTGGTATTCATCAGGTTCTGACCAGTTCTGGGAAACCAGTAGTGGAAATTTTGAGTAGTTTGGAGAACCAACAAATACCATTTCTGACTGGAGATTTTACAGTATCCTTCCCCTGTCACGCCCACCAAGCCACGCCTGCAGAACCGGTAGTAAAAAAAATTGAATCTCACCACTGTTGGAAAGTATACATTAAATATGTGTTTGGCCCTGGTGGCACAGTGGTTAGAATGCAATATTGCAGCTAACACTGCCCAAAGCTTGGAGTTCGATCCTGATGGACTCTGGGACAACCCAGTCTTCCATCCATCCAAGGTCAATAAAATGAGGACCCAGATTGTTGGGGGCAATATGCTGACATTGTAAATCACCCAGAAAGTGCTATAAAGCACTCTGAAGCAGTTTCTAAGATTGTTGGGGGCAATATGCTGACATGGTAAACTACCCAGAAGGTGCTGTATAGTACTATGGGGCAGAACATAAGTCTCAGTACATTGCTACTGGTGAGAAGTCACTTTCATTATATTTAATTTAAACAAAATGGAAATGAAAGAAATGAAGCCTGATTTTTGCAATACCCATTCAGATCTAAAGACAGATTTCAGCTAGGAAAAGTTGAACTACCCTCTCTTTTCAGAAAAAAAAGGTCAACTGTACCAGCTGTTGCAGTGATTATGGCTATTTGTCGATCAAAAATGTAAAGAAAGTTATGACTGGTAAAGGACTGGAAAGAGCTATTGTGATTGTTTCAAATCAAAAGGAAATCAAGTTTAAGAGAATCTTTAAATAAATCCCTTTGCTAATTAAATTTGATGAAAGTACATAGCTCCTTTCTATTGATCAATGTCAGCTATGCTTTCTCTCAGCTGTGGTTTATGAAGTATGTACAAATATATTCCCTTCGTAAATATATTCCAGTCTTCAGTAATCTAGTACCTTCCCAATAGTTTGGATTTTTCAAGTTTTGAAACACTGTTGTGACAAATGTTTTGGTTTCATTATAAACTGAGTGTGGCCTGCAATGAAGAGCATACTTATATTAGGAAAGTTTAGATATGATTAAAACCAGAGAACCCAAAACCAGGTTGTCAGGAGCAATGCTTTAGGAAAGGTGACTAAAGTTTTGTTTTCAAGAAGTCAGTATCTATAGCAAATCATGGTGGTAAAATAGATTAAGTACTTTGAAACATACCAGATTAAGGCAAATTAATCAGAATTTTGGCTTTAGTCAAGTTATTAGAAACATGGCCCTTAAAAAAGAATTCTGTTTCCACTTTATGAAGGTTTATGGAGTTGAACTTCACTGTAGGTCCCTGCCCTTTATTAAAATACCTGTGGAATCCCAGGAAAGTCTTTATGGTTTCACAAATCAGGCAATCCATTTGTTTTGTCCTCTAATTGTTGTATCAATGACCTTTCCACGGGCCAGCAAATTTCTGAAATACTGATCTTTTCAGATTATTATTATTTGACACAAAAAATGACATTTACACAGCAAATGAGATAACTATGCTGGGTTTCATACCACAAATCACTAGTTGAACACTTCCCAAGTGTTTAGGACTGCGTGATGTATCGATGGATTATGCAAGCAGTTCCCAGTAAGGTGGCCTTCTGACCAATGGTGATTTTGTCAGCGCCAATTGTTTTTAAGAGCTTGCCTAAGTCTTTAGGCACAGCAGCCAGTGTGCCGAGTACCACTGGAACCAGCTGCACTGGTTTATGCCAGAGTCTCTGCAGTTCAATTCTCAAGTCTTGATATCTGGTGATTTTTTTCAAGTTGTTTCTCATCGATTCTGCTGTCACCAGGTATGGCAATGTTGATGATCCACACTTTTTTCTTCTCCACAATCGTGCTATCCAGGCTATTGTGTTCCAAAACTTTGTCAGTCTGTATTCAGAAGTCCCACAGTAGTTTTGCATGCTCATTTTCGACCATTTTTTCAGGCTTATGATACCACCAGTTCTTTGCTACAGGCAGATGGTAGTTATGACACAAGTTCCAGTGGACCATCTGAGCAACTGTGTTGTGACGTTGTTTGTAGTCAGTCTGAGCGATTGTCTTGCAACAGCTTAGTATGCTTTTGATGGTTTCATCCACTTATTTGCAAAGTCTGCATCTGGGGTCATCAGCTGATTTTTCTATTCTGGCTTTGATTACATTTATTCTGATGGCTTGTTCTTGGGCTGCAAGAATCAGGCCTTCTGTTTCTTTCTTCAGTGTTCTGTTGGTCAGCCATAACCAGGTTTTTTCCTTATCTACTTTTGCTTGGATCTTTTCAAGGAACAGTCCATGCAGTGCTTTGTTACACCAGCAGTTAGCCCGAGTTTGCATCACTGTTTTTCTATATTGATTCTTGGTTTGCTGCACTTTGAGCAGCTTCCTCTTGTTGACCTCCATCAAAGCTGGTTCAATACTGTCTTTCACATAATCTGCCAGAGCATGCTTCTTTTCTTCAACTGTCTGCTTCACTTGCAAAAGTCCTCTGCCGCCTGCTTTTCTGGGCAAATATAGCCTGTCGACGTCACTATGTGGGTGCAGCGCATAGTGTATGGTCATCAGTTTTCTTGTTTACCTATCCAAGCTGTCCAACTATTATTATTATTATTATTATTATTATTATTATTATTATTATTATTA